AATTGGTTCCCCAACACCAACACCCCGTTAAACACCCCGTTAAATATCGTTCACTTTAGGACTATTATTCATTTATAAATCTTTATCTACTTATTTATTCAATAAACAGGATGTTACAATTCTCCCCTAATTAAATTAGATTCCGTCCTTGAAATCATTCCTTACCATCCCTTACACGCCTGACAACTTGAACGACATGGTCACAAGCCCGAGAATAACCCCAACCGTTCAATCCAACAAAGTTATCTCAACCAACCACATCGTACATGCAACCACTAAGTTCGTTGTACTCCGAGCAAATATTACAACCGCTCTGTAGTCACATGTCACTTCCGACCTCTGTCGTGTAACACTCACTAACTTCATGCGTGTTGCGGTCCTTCTCAAGTCAAACAAACCGACCCTCCCAGGTCTAGAACATCAGATGGAAACCTTAACCACTCAAAATAAGTCCATCAGGAATCTGGAATCTCGACTCATCTATCCTTTACACAGATAGGGCCAAACTCAAACTCGAGAGTCTGATTCATCAGCAAAATTGGAACCACTCATCTCCAATCTGATACTCAACTCTGTTAAGATTTATGGAGTCTTGAACAAATTGACAAGTTCCTAAGAGTTCAAGGGCCATAAATGTAACATTACATTTAACAATTGAATTATTCAATTGTTGTCGGCAAACGTTTGAATTAAATATTCAAATGGTCGGTGGACAATTATTTAATATTTGTTGGACGACTAATGTGAATGGCAAAATTTTCAAAGTCAATCTTTGCGGCAATCCTGTGCATATTGCGGCTCACAAATATACCTATATATATGCATGTATGCTTTGCATATTTTGTGTGCAAAAACTTGAGAGAACATCAAAGTGTAGAGTGTCAAGCCAATTGTAATCTTGTGAGTTTTAATAAAATTCTCTAGTTGCAGCCCGTGGATGTAGGATTTGCACCGAATCCGAACCACGTAAAATCCTTGTGTTCTTCTTGCTTTATTTTCGTGAGTTTGTGTGTGTGTGATAGTGTGTTTTCGCTGCGTGTACCCGGTCCGGTTCCTAACAACTGGTATCAGAGCCTGGTTAGCGAGGTTTGGAGGGTACAATCATTTTTTTTTCACGCACGAGTGTACCTGATTTGTATCTTGTTTGTCGTAATGGCTGAAGACAAGATTATAATCGAAAAGTTCAACGGTTCTGATTTTAGCTGGTGGAAAATGCAATTAGAAGCATTGCTATGTCAGAAAGACTTGGACATGGTACTCGGAGACAAACCGGAGAAAATGGAAAAAGCTTTTGAAGATGCGTGGAACTCAAAGGACAAGAAAGCCAAGGCGGTTATTACATTGTCATTGACGAAGAGCGTTGCTTTCAACATCATGAATGAAACCACGACGCGTGGTATGATGGAGGCTTTGTCAAATATGTATGAGAAACCATCGGCGGCTAACAAGGTGTTCTTGATGAAGGAGTTGTTCACTACAAGGATGAATGAGGAAGGCTCAGTTACGGTTCACATTAATAATCTAAATTCAATTCTGTCCAGATTATCATATGTGGGAATTAAATTTGATAACGAGACTCAAGCATCACTGCTACTAGCTTCTCTACCTGATAGCTGGTCCGGAACAGTTACTGCTGTTACGAGTTCCGTGGGGACCAGTGGTATGACTTTTGAAGGGGTTAGAGATTTGGTTCTAGGCGAGGATATCAGACGCAAGAATCAAGGTGGATCTTCCTCTTCTGATTTATTAAATGTCGGAAGAGGTAGAGGGAATAGCAGGAATAGTAGAAGCAGTGGGAGTCGGGGAAGAAGTTCATCTAGAACTAAGAAGAATGTGAAGTGTTGGAACTGCCAGGAGGTGGGACATGTTAAGAGTCAATGTCCAAAGAAAGAATTGAACATTACCGGTGCTGAGAGTGTGTCTGAGGATGATGCATTGATACTCAGTATGGAAAGTTCTGTAGACTCTTGGGTCATGGATTCAGGGGCTTCGTTTCACGCCATGGACAACGGGGAAACGATGGTGAATCTAAAAAAAGGAGATTTTGGAAAGGTACGGTTAGCAAATGACGAGATGCTTCAAGTAACGGGCATGGGAAATATTGATCTAGTTACTTCATTGGGAACTACATGGAGCCTGAAGGATGTCAAGGTGATTCCGGAGCTGAAGAAGAAATTGATTTCTGTTGGTCAGCTGGATAAACAAGGACTGGAAGTAAGGTTTGGTAGTGGTAAATGGAGGGTGGTCAATGGTGATCTGGTGATTGCTCGTGGTATGAAGTGTGGGTCATTGTATATGGTTGAGGTACCTGCTGAGGGAAGTATGACCGTCCCTGTTAAACAAGACAAAATCTGGTTCGCTAAATCTATGGCTAAGAGAGTTCATTTTGCAAACATGAATTCTGGAGCCAAAGAGATGTTAGCTGAACGAGTTCGAAAGTCTAAACCATTCAAGGGATTATGTGACAGTGGGAGCACGGGACGTGTTTCGGGTACAGTTACAAAGAGCCGTTGGGCTTTGAAGACTAAGAATGAAAAATTCTCTCCTGTTGGAAGTTTGCAAAGATTGGAGAGTGTTAGTGGTCCTCGGTGTATCTCTGGATCTGGTGGAGTGTCCAAACCGGTTGAGACAGAGGATGAGTCGGTGGTGGGATTAGCCACGACTGAGTTGGAGCTAGTGGGAGCTTCAACTGGCCCTTCTAGTACTTGAAGATGAGGGGCGGCTGCAATTAGAGAAATCAGACTAAGTTTTAGCTTGTTCTTTGGAACTGGAAGCTTGAAGGACTTGGTTGTTTTAAGATTACTGGAGTTGGATGACAGAGACGGACCATGTTGTTCAAGCCTCCAAGTGGGAGATTGTTAAGATTTATGGAGTCTTGAACAAATTGACAAGTTCCTAAGAGTTCAAGGGCCATAAATGTAACATTACATTTAACAATTGAATTATTCAATTGTTGTCGGCAAACGTTTGAATTAAATATTCAAATGGTCGGTGGACAATTATTTAATATTTGTTGGACGGCTAATGTGAATGGCAAAATTTTCAAAGTCAATCTTTGCGGCAATCCTGTGCATATTACGGGTCACAAATATACCTATATATATGCATGTATGTTTTGCATATTTTGTGTGCAAAAACTTGAGAGAACATCAAAGTGTAGAGTGTCAAGCCAATTGTAATCTTGTGAGTTTTAATAAAATTCTCTAGTTGCAGCCCGTGGATGTAGGATTTGCACCGAATCCGAACCACGTAAAATCTTTGTGTTCTTCTTGCTTTATTTTCGTGAGTTTGTGTGTGTGTGATAGTGTGTTTTCGCTGCGTGTACCCGGTCCGGTTCCTAACAAACTCACGACCCGTGATCCGCAAATCTACGCGTACATTACTTCTCCAATTCCTTCCGATTTGCGACAACCTCTTCCCAGTTCGAGATATAACGGATCCCGACCATCATGGAGACCCCAGTCTCGCCCCTGGCCCGACCACCAGGTTCCCAAAGACTCAGTCGTCAAGGCTAACTAATCCTAAGAACTCCTCTGTGTCATGCTCTGACTAGTGAATACCACAGCTCCCCGCAGTGTTATAACACTCTCTTACTGACTAATGAGTGCTACGGCTCCCCGCAGACTTGCGACACTCTCACACTGACTCGTAAATACTAAGGCTCCCCGCAGGCTTACATCACTCACTCACTGACTCGTGAATGCTACGGCTCCCCGCAGGCTTACATCACTCACTCACTCGTTATGGGCTCTCCCCATGGTTTTCCCTGATATTACAAAGTGATTTTTTTAATTATTAAAATGAATAAATAATTATTAAACTTAAAAAAATGAATTTAAAATACAAAATAAATACCCAAGTCATTTCAACTTACCGAGAGACCAAATCCGTAATAAAACTAGCTTAAAAGGACCATAAAGCCAAAAAAAATCAAGGTTTGGACTAAATCTCAGAAAAATTATAGAAACGAAGGTGTTTTTTGTTTTTTTTTTAAAAACCACTTCAGACCATTTTTTTGCTGTGCGGTGCAGCACACGCGCAACACTTACAAGAAATATATATATAGAAGAGTTAGTGCTTGGTTAGCCAAAAATCAAAGTTTATTAGAAGCTTGGTCTAAAATTCCTGAAAAATTAGCTTTTTATGATTACATTAGAAATCATCCGGCAAACCCTCTCGCAACATTTGTTTTTTGGAAGGTTTCCGACTACAAAACTTCTGCACGTGTTTATAGTGCGGCGCAACACTCGACTTGTCTCTTCATAACGTCTTCAACTTTTATTTTTTCCAAATGATTTTTTTTAGAAATTTGGTATAACTATTCTTTTTTAACTTTGATTTTTTTTACTTTGATTTACGGATTTGATACAATTTCTTTTTAGTTTCTACAATTTTTTATAACTTGATTTTAAAAAAACTTGGATTTTTTTAATTTTTTTTATCGTTTATGTTAATAATTTTTCGGTTTTGATTGCATATTTTTTAACATGTGTAATTCTTTTAAGAACTTTGTAGACATTGTTTGCAATATTTTCTTAATTTTATTATTATTATTATTATTTTAAATTAGTTTTTTTTTAGAATAAAACTGATAATTTCTTTTACATTTTTTAGAAATTTTATATTTTTGTTTTTTATATGTTCTTTTTAATATTCTTCAAGTTTTTAAGACTAGAACTATTAAAATTTCAGTCTTAATAACTATTTTTAGTTTATAAAATTAATTTATTTAAATTTCCATTGCAGTTAAAAAACAAACATGTTTATCCAAACATGCTTCTTATTTATTAGGCTAGTGGGTGTGGTTTCGGCAAACACTTCAACTACCTCGGCGAACACCGGACCGAGCCCTCGGCATGGCGAGCTCGGCTCGACAACTCGGTAGATTTGTACCGATGAGAGAGAGTGTATAGTTTGGGGAAAATGGAGAGAAAATGAGGATTTAATTTTTCTTTTGAAGTACATGTAACAAAAATGGAAGAAAATTTGTATCAGTTCAAATGATGGAGAAGACAACAAAATTTTCTAGATTTAACATAAAAGGTCCCTGGGGTTTGGTCTACTAACAAAAAATACCCCATCCTAAATTCTCTCTATATAAATAGTTTCTAAAATTATATAATCAACCTTTGACTTATAAATCATTTTTATTATTCTATGTAAATGAAATTTTAGTTTAAAAAAAATTATATGTTTAAAATGTTTAATTTTAAAAATTAATTAATTTTAAAAAAAATACCATGACAATTATGCCAAGAAAATAACAAAATTTTGAAGGAGCATGACAATTGACAAATAACGATCTAACGTGCTCCCACTTGGACCAAATGTGTCACCACAGCCGGCCTTATAGGTTTTTTGTCCAACGTCCACTCTTTATGCTCAAACTTCAAAGTTCTCTCAATTTGATCTTTGGGATTTCATATGCACACGATAATTGATGCAAATGCTTGCATGGAACATGATGAACGGGACTCCCAATTTCAGATCAAAGCTTAGGAAGATGGAATTCCCAGTTCCATGGAGGAATCATCGCGCCAAGACCGATTCTCGTCATATCTTTCCTCGATTACGAACTCAAACTCACGTTCTTTGGTACGCTTAACTGCTGCTTAATGTTTTACAATTTCACCGTTCATCAACTCATCTGGAATAAAACGTAGTTCCAATTGAGTGTCGCCTCGGTTCATTACGGATTTTGAAATTTTAAAAACCTAATATAGTTCTAGTTCAAGTGACTGTATATATTTGATCATTTTAGCTCTTGAATTATGGTGAAAGAAGAAATTTGAAAGCCTTTTGCTCTTATTCTTCCTAAAAGGATATAATGGATTCAGACTTTAATCTCCTTTGACGTATATGCTGTCATCCTTGTCCATTCTTTATAACTTAAATTCCAATTCGGCTGCTTCCTTTTATGTAACTCACAAAATCCATACATTAAAATATCCCCAATCTTCATCCAAGAACATTCCACATCATCCTAGAGATACTCGTTAATCAAGGAACACCTTTTTGACTTCAACCAATAATAATTCAATCCCCCTATCTTTGGTTGAATCAACATGAAGTAACTCATGTATACATATATTAACTGTGAAAATCGTAACAGAAGTAGGTGCTGTTTTTTTTTTACTTGATGGAGACAAGACTTAATCTGGCAAAGGTTTCCTAAATGCAGAAAGAATAACTTTCATAACTGTTTACAAACTTGAACTTATTTATTATATCATAGTGAGCTGTCAATCTCTTAAATATTTTTTAAATATCACTTATCAAGACAACACATCATCCAGATAGCAATTAAGGGGAAAAAAACAGTGCCTTTCTTGAACTTGTTAAATGCAAATTGTAAGAGTTGTACGGGTCAATTCTCTTATCACTAAATAGGAAAAGCCACTAATTATAGAAAATTTGCAATGAACTTTAGTAATCACTCTCGGTTTTACCTCACTTAGAACATGTAAACCAGCAGAAATAAACACTCAAACTACCATAAAAGCAATTACTTGACCCATTACTTGGATCCAAGTGGCACTCATTACGGGTGGATGTGGATCCGATCCATGACCCAAAAACCAACCTACTTGGATCAAGATTCCCCATTTATCTTCTTTATCATTGATTACATTCATCAAGCTAGCATTAGTTTGCAATATTTGTGGGGCTGAGGGGACATAAGTTCTCCAACATACTTCTTTGAGTTCTTTCCTATATCTGTCTTTTATGATCAGCTTGATGCCTATCTATAAGAGATGTTTATTTAACATAATATAGTACCTTGATTTCACATTTGATTAGTTTCAGCAATGGAGATATTGAAGCAGAGATCATGTTTTCTGCAGTTGGTATTGGTGTCTCATAATCTAGGCAGGTACAAGAAAGTTATATTCTTCAAGTTTAAGAGCCATTCCCTTAACTTTAACATCAAATAGGCTCATCTTTTTCTTATATGCAAATAGCTACAGCTCATTTTATATAGGTTCTCAATGCTAGTCTACATCAATTCATCTTAAGTAACTTCATTTTTTTTTCACCAATCAACCACTTTTTACAAAGCTTGTTTTGCTCATTGATTTGGAATAAACAAGAAAGTGATATGTGCTTGATTAGTTTGTTTTATTTGAAAATGCAGCTTCCTATGCAAAAAGTTTTGGGCCCTCAAAATGGGAAGGAGTAAGGACTGACTTATTGACTTTATTCCATAGTTCCTAAAGATGAGACTAGTAGATGGAAAAGGTTTCTTTTTGTTTATCATATACCTTTCACTTTCCATTCAAATTGCTTGTGGTTGGAGCGACACCTTCACTTCAGCTATTCCATTGAAGGATGGAAACAGAAACACCATAGTTTCCTCTGGTGGAATCTTTGAAATTGGATTCTTCAGCCCCATGAATTCAAAGAACAGGTATATCGGTATATGGTACAAAAATATCCCAACAAAAACTGTGGTTTGGGTAGCCAATAGAGATACCCCTCTTACTGACAAATCAGGTGTGTTCAAGTTGACAGATTCAGGCATTCTTAGCATTCTGAATGATAAGAACACGATCATTTGGTCTTCTAATAATACCTCAAGAACCACAAACAATCCAATCGCACAGCTTTTAGATTCTGGGAATCTTGTTGTGAGAGATATGAATGATGTCATCTGGCAAAGTTTTGATTATCCGAGTGATACCTTTCTACCTGACATGAAGATTGGGAAAGACTTAGTGACTGGGCATGAGAATTATATCACATCATGGAAAAGTGATGATGATCCTTCTAAAGGAGATTATACATATGGATGTGATCTTCATGGGTACCCACATCAAGTTATTAAAAAAGGACAGATTCTGTTATACCGAAGTGAACCCTGGAATGGAATCGACTTTGGTGGGATTTCAGTCCTACCACAGAATGCTATTTACAAGTTTGATATGGTTTTTAATAAAAAACAAGTGTTTTTTACATACAAAATGATAAACTCATCCATGATATCAAGGTTGACCATGAATCGATCAGGTGTTTTGCAACGTTGGGTGTGGTCTGACCAAGTCAACAATTGGGTTGTTTACTTTTCTAAACCAACACCAGATGGTTGTGATATGGTATGTGGTGCTTCTGGTAGTTGTAACACTGATAGCTTCCCAAAATGTGGGTGTTTGGATAAATTTGTGCCCAAGTATCAAAATGAATGGAATGGGGATAATTGGTCAAAAGGGTGTGTGAGGAGGAAACCTTTGGATTGCAAGACTGATGGGTTTATAAAACATCAAAATGTTAAATTACCTGACCCACAAAATTCGTTGTTTTATGGGAATATGACACTTGTGGAATGTGAGAAGTTATGTGTGAAAAATTGTTCGTGTATGGCGTATGCGGATATTTTGAAAAAAGGATTCGGGTGTATGATTTGGATGGGTGATTTGGTTGATATTCAAGAAGCTCCATCTTATACTTTTGAAGTCTATATCAGGGTAGCCTTTTCTGAATTAGGTAACATGATATGATTATGCAAATATGCATTACAATTCAGAATAAATATATATTTTTTTCTGATCGGTTGAAAGGTGTTTCAGGTTCTCGTAAGAAGAAGCGGAAAGTAATTCCATTGATCATGGCATTAGTTGGTGGGTTGTCGATAATTTTGGGCTTGATTTTATTTATTTGTAGAAAATGGATGAAAAATTCAGTGCCAAAGGGTGAAGGTAAGAAATTTCAAGCTTATAAATAAAAAAAAAATAATAACAAAAAGGGTTGTTATGAGTTATGATTATGAAGAAAATGTTTTTATTCGGTAAGTGTTGTATTATTGCAGATGAACAGATGGGAAAGGATACTGACCAACTTTACAAAAATGAAAGGCAGAAGGATGATCTCGAGCTGCCATTGCTTAATCTATCAGAAATAGTGAAAGCTACACATAATTTTTCATTTGATAATAAGCTTGGAGTAGGTGGCTATGGACCTGTTTACAAGGTTAGCTATTTATTCAACCAATCGCATAATGTTTCGTTTAATACTTCTAATATTTTTCACATATATATACAACAACTCAGGGTGTTCTTCCAGATGGAAAAGAAGTGGCTGTGAAGCGACTCTCAAAGACATCAAATCAAGGGCTTGATGAATTCAAAAATGAAGTTATTTGCATATCTAAACTGCAACATAGAAATCTTGTGAGGCTTCTTGGATGCTGCATTCAAGGAGACGAAAAGATGTTGATCTATGAATACATGCCTAATAAAAGCCTTGATTACTTCATATTCGGTTTGTTTCTTTTCCTTGTATATATAATACTGCAATCAACTTTTAATATGGATTAAATGGTATAAATTATTATATTAAATATAGATGAAAGCCGAAGAAAGTTACTTGATTGGCCGGAGCGGTTCAACATTATGAATGGAATTGCTCGAGGCTTGCAGTATCTTCACGAAGATTCAAGATTAAGAATTATTCATAGAGATTTGAAAGCAAGCAATATTTTGCTTGATTTTCATATGATTCCTAAAATATCCGATTTTGGGATGGCAAGAAGCTTCATAGGAAACGAGACACAAGCAAATACCATGAAAGTGGTTGGAACTTAGTACGCATCTCTCCCGTAATTTTCTTATTTATTTTATTTATTTATTTATTATATATATTTTTATTTTCATTTTGTAGCGGATACATGTCTCCGGAATATGCAGTGGATGGAATTTTCTCGGTAAAATCAGACGTATTTAGTTTCGGTGTTTTGGTGTTGGAGATTGTCACCGGAAAGAAAAACAGAGGATTCTTTCACCATGACCACCATCATAACCTTCTCGGACATGTAAGAGGACTCTTCTTTCTTTCTTTCTTCACTTAATGGGCTGAATGGGTTAAGCACTTAATTAATTTTGAAAATAATATATTGTCAATAGTCATTCATTATGTAAATTCGGTCCAAAAAGGAAAGTCTTTATGTATACAACATTGTATCATGACAACAGACATCATTATTGATCAAGCCACTACCCATTTGGCATAAACGGGTTAAAAGATCATTTTTTTTTAATTATTTTTGGTTGTAGGCATGGATACTTTATCAAGAGGGCAGGTCGGTGGAGCTAATTGATGAGAATTTAAGTGGGTCGTGCCATTTATATGAAGTGTTGAGATCAATTGAAGTGGGTTTGTTGTGCGTTCAAAGAAATCCAGAAGATAGGCCGAGCATGTCTTCAGTGTCGGTGATGCTGAGTAGTGATAGTCAACTGCCACAACCCAAGCAGCCTGGTTTCTTCTACACGGAGCATCTCCCTCAGCCTCAAGATGACATGTCATCTACCACCCGTGCACCCTCTTCAACTACTGCAATAACCATTACACTAGTACATGGTCGTTGACTATATATATAATACAATGACAGTTATGCTAGTAAACGTACGTAAAATATATAAAGTATAATTTAACAGCTGAATTGTTGAATTGTACTTCGTTTTCGCCTCGAAAACTCTATGAAATTAGTTTTTTTATTTTGGTACATTAATTGGAGCTGTATTTATTTAAGGACCATCTACGTCAAGATATTCCTTATAAAGACCAAACCTTATATGTTTTGCCAAACATAGGAACCATTAATGTACTTTTGTCTTTTTTATTTTATTTTATTTATATAGTTTGTATATGTAGTTTCAGTTTTTTGCATGGTTGTTCTTGATCCATGTAAAATTTCCTTCCCCTCCAACCCTAGAACACAACTAGTTATACATTTCCTTCCCTTTCTTTTGCTTTCGATTTCATTCCCTTCCCTTAATTTTAAACTCTGAGAAAATGGTGCTCGGTTTTGGGGAAAATCTTTACCAAATTGGTAGAGGTGAGAAAGATTTCAAACTATGAAAAATAAATAAATAAAAAAAGTTAAGAATCCACAGGAAAGATTTTAGTTTAAATTGGTGGAGGTGAGAAATATTTCAATTGGAAATCAAATAATATATAATATATTAATTAATATATGAAATCCTTTTTTTTAGATTTTTAAAAAGTAAGAAATGACTTTAAAGAAAGCCAACTGGATGTTAACGTGGAGATTTTGACAGGTTTGTTATGCTTAGTCATTATCTTAACCTCTAAAACCAAGTAAAAAAAATAGAATATTGATATAACCAACAGGTCTAGACTACAAAAATAATAATAAACATAAACATAAATAAATAAAGTTCCTTTTTAAAAGCAAAAGCGAGTAAACAATATTGCCCGCTTACATTCATAAATTTGATTATTTCGATCATAAATAATTGAAAAAGAGCCAAGCCCTTGAGTTAGAATCATCTTAGATATATATTCAAAACTAATTTGTTTTAACGTCAGAGTAATATTCAAAAACTAAAACATATTATTGTGACATCAAGTCACTATAGTGATTTTAACAATTCAGTTTCTTACAACAAAATTTTATATGTATCCTCAGTTAATTATTTGGTTCTCAATATCGTTGCAATAGAAAATCATCTAGTTCAACCACCATTGGAGTCTTTGTAGCAAAATCCATGAGCGAGAAGAAAAACGAGGTGATATAAAAGAATTTTAGGACTTTTGGCATATTTCACGATCTTCTTCAAGCATCAGACGAAGAGACAAACGTTGTCTGATTGAACTGAAATTTGACAGACGTCTTCCCAACTTGTTGATATTCCATCTCACAAAAACTAATTTGATTCGGACAAGTTTTGATGTTGTTTTTGGCCTCGTAAACAGCTCGACAGAAAGCTGCCAGATTCAACCATGGCAGCCCAATATTATTTCAGCCCATTGTTGTTGACACCTTTCTTTGGGGCTTGAAAGAAAAGCAAAGAACATTTATCAGACCATTTCTAAACTATATCCCGCAGCCCATAAATGAATATTCCAACAGCTCTCTATGGCAGCCCACAAAGGAATAGAAGTAAAAGCCCATCAGGTCTTATGGAAGCAAACAATAGGGCATTTCTCGACCCTTGGTGCTCTCGTTTATTTTCTTTTATTTTCATTTTTGAAACAAATATTATGATATTATTAATTATTAATATCATGATTCTTATGAATAGGTTATTTCGGTTTTGGTGGTTTCGATAACAAGACCTTTAAATTTGGCATGAAAAAAATGGAAGTGATTCACATAACCTTTGGATTGAGAATGACTTTTTAGATAAAGTATGGTTGAACAATGACATGAATATACCAGTATAATATCTGGTGCTCAATGACTATCCGGAAGTTTAATTTAGAGTGAATGCAAAAGGCTATATGAAAACATATTATCTGATTGATAGTACGTATAAAAAATGAACTATATTATTAAAAAGTCCTCCACATCTAGAAATACAGGAAAAAATGTTGAAGATGGTAGTAGAAAACCAGAACAAGGCCCTAATATATGGAATATCCATGGAAAGAAATTTATTTTGAAACCCAAACAAAAGGGATAACAAATCATAGACTGACCATTTCTACGGTTTGCTTAAAAAATATGGTTAATATACAAACAAAAAATTATTGTAGTTGTTAGAATGATATATTAGTGATTTTCATATGTTGGAGCAGGTGAAGGGATCCTTGTATTATTATTATATTATAATCTAATATTCTCTTCATTAACTAAATAAAATGTCTTGTTTAACTATTTATTCATTGAAATGGACGTAGGTTTCTTAACTAACATTCTAGTTAAGATATGGATATCCAAATGCCTCCTGTCCCGATCTCATATTTATTTTTTATCTACAATATTCGTTTATAAATTACTCTTTTACAAAAAGACTTGTAATTGTTAATAATGACCAAATAAATCCGCAAAAATGAAATTTATATTGCACATGCTCTGTATCTCACGTTTTTTATTTTTTTTTGGTTAACTTTTACATTTTTTTACCGCCAATGTTATGTTCGTTTGGCGTTTTGACCATTTCTTTCGGTAATTAATATTTAATATTTTTTGTTTCAAAATATTAATTAAAACCTTTTATTACCAGATTTTGAACCATAAGTTACATATTTACCTATACGACCATCATAGATAGAAATGATATTAATTTAGATTCATGATATCTGGCAAAGACAGTGGCTTCTCATATATTTTAGACTGGGTTGGCAGGAGGGCATTGTTGGTGATTTTAGTGTCACCATGTCATTTTAAGTAACTGTAACTAACATGTGAGCTAAGGGGCTTCATAATTTGTACTCTAATATATGTACGGGGGTTGTGCGGAGTGCACGCATGTATAAGATCGAATTAGAAGCCGGTTTGACGACTAGTTGGGGGTCCGAGGGCAGCGCCCCCGGGTCCGGAGTTTCCAAAGGGGCAGTGCCTCTTTGGCGGGGTCTAGGGGCAGCGCCCCTAGCGGGGTCCAAGGGGCAGAGCCCCTGGCTGTGGTCCCGCAACTAATGGGAACATAGTGGAAAATTCAATTTCTTGAGGGTGATTATGGTAAAACTAACGAAACTCGTTAGTTTTGGTAACCCTAAATCGTCATTAAATCCAGATTAACAATACTTGCTTCCAAAGCAACTAATGACGGCCCAACCCTAATGTAACACCCATAAAATTCATGCCAAATTTAAACTTTTAAAACATTCAAAATACCAAAAGTTATTACAAAAAGGTTTTCCAAAATAGTTTATTATCAGAGTATCCCAGAAACAACATCATAAAAGTGAGGAGCGGTACGATCACGCCTTTGCCTTGCCACGGTCTCCTGATGTACCTGAAACAATAAACTGAAACTGTAAGCCCGAAAGCTTAGTGAGTTACCCCCAAAATACCAACCTCACATAACCATAATCATATCATATCAACAAATACAGAACAACCATGCATCTCGAGTCTACAGTGTGACTGGTCCGCCCGCACCGGGCCTTCAGTCCACCTGGTCCACTCCCTGAGTCTACAGTCTGACTGGACCGCCCGCACCGGGCCTTCAGTCTATCTGGTCCACTCTCCGAGCCTCGGCACGTCTGGTCCGCCCTCTCAGGGCCTTCAGCCTATCCGGACCACTCGTCGGGCCTTCGGCCTGACTAAGTGCCCTCCCAGGTCTGCAGTCTATCCGGTCCGCCCTGGGTATGTTGGCCTACAGCACGAAGCAGGACCCGCCTCAACCCAACCCAACCCAATCAAACAACCATGTGCACATATAACAGATAATCACATAACGGTCTATAGACGAACAAACCGATCTAACAGATCATATAGCATAGCACAATCCTATAACCAGGATACCGATCTAACCGGTCACTAACATAGCATCATCCTATATACCAGGATACCGACCTACCATGTCACTAAACACAATACTGTCCTAACTAACAGGATGCAGATCTAACATATCAATAAACATAACATGCAATATACCCGGATACAAATCCGATAAAGGGCCGGCCTTGGTGCCGTAGACCCTGTCGATATAGTGAGGATAACTCACCTTGAATGCTGAACTGAAGAGGTAAGATCAAATCCTCTGCTCACGGCCACGAACTCCACCATCTAACACTTGATGAAACCATATCTATAAGTGCCCAATTTACCAGAATACCCTTGGAAGTCAAACTGGTCAATTCTTTGTCAAAGTCAAAGTCCTCAGTCAAAGTCAACAGTCCATGTTGACTCGACTCGCCGAGTGCAGTTCACCGACTCGTCGAGTCCTTCCTGAACTCGAGAAGTCGTGAAATCCTTGCTTGAATCGTCGAGTTTCCCTAGAACTCGTCGAGCTCATACGTGTCCATAGGTTGGGGAAAACCATACCCGACTCGCCGAGTCATTCGACTGACTCGTCCAGCCCAAGGCAATCTTCGTCCGACTCGCCGAGTTGTTCATCAACTCGACGAGTTCATGACCATCTTTATAAGACTCGCCGAGTTGACTATGCAGCTCGCCGAGTCCTTGCAGACCTTCATCCATGCAGACACTTTTTAAGCCATGCCAAGGTTCCAGGTTACAGATCCAAGCTTCTAAGGCATGTTTATCACGTAAAGTTGCAAACTTTACACGCATGCAAAGCCCTAGAGGCTCTAAATGACCAATCTAAGCTTCTAATGGAGCTTTACACCTTAGGAGAGTCTCATCCTTGCAAGAGCTGGAAACTTTATGGACTTAGGACTCAAAAGAGGTTCAGATCTGAAGTTTCAACTTCAGATCTAACTCCCATACCATAATCCCTTCATGAATAGCTAAAGAAAACCCTAGTCTTCACATATGAATGATTCTAGAAGAAAAGAGGTCAAGGTAACACTTGGTTACCTCCAAAGCGTGCCCAAGCTGAAGTAGATTCTGGATCTACACGAATTCCTTGATGCTAGCCTCTTGATCTACAAGCTTCCTTCACTAGAATCACCTTTCAAAGCTCAAAACTCTCACCAATGGCTCACACACGATTTTAGGGTTTGCTGACTCTTAAGGGGTAACAAGGAGGCTGGGGTGAGGACATAAGGTCCTTTAAATAGGATGCAAACCCTAAAATTTAGGGTTTTCTCTTCCCAGCACTAACTCGTCGAGTCCAGCCGCCGACTCGGCGAGTCGGGTCGCTTAACACGTGCCCAACACCCGCTCCGACTCGACGAGTTAAGATACCTACTCGTCGA